GCTGGACTGCCTCAGCCCAAAAGCAAATATTTTGCTTCTAAAAAATGGAAAATTTAGCCCGATGAAATAAAAAGGGATAAATTATCACTCATTTTAGTGTGTTTGAGTAATTTATTTTGGAAGAATGTATTTTAAAATAGTAGATTAATAGAGAATATATGGTTAAAAAATAAGAAAAAAATTTTAAATTTACGTGTAATATTATTTTATTAAAGAATATGCGTTGAAATGATATTAAATTATTGTTTGAAAATGTATTTTTTGAAGAATGTGAACCCAATAGGGCCTTAAAGTTAAGATTAAAATAAAAGTTTCAAAAAAAATTTAAAAATCAGATATTTATATAAATTTATTTATGATTCAAGACGCCTGTGTTTTTGTCGATGACTTTGTTGATTTTGTTTACATCTTGCAGTATTTTATATAAGCAATTTTATTTGCCTTTGATAGAGACAATATCTCATTTTCTTTAAGCATATTTAGATTTTTACTTCGTTTCATAATTTGTAAAAATTTTAGGAGCGAACATGGATGATCATAGTTGTAAGACTAAGTAACCAATGTCATTGTCCGATGAGAGTGATTACATTTTTATCGAAACACTTTACGGCAATGTAAAAGCAGGAAAGTTGCAATGTTCTACATTTTCAAAAGACAACTGGGGCAAGATTAACAAAAGATGGTTGTTACCACAAAATTTGATTATGGGATAAAGAGATTGAAGGGTAAGTAGAACTGTTTAAGTAAGGTGCATCACTTGTTCTCCTAAACTGTTTATGTAAGGTGCATCGTTTGTTCTGTGACCTTTGAGGACATAGGGTGTAACATTAGATCCAAATATCAATCAAGTAAATGCTACAGAAGAAGTTTGGCAACAATTTTATACGGTATATGTTGAAAAATAAAATTTTTAACATAAATTATTTGTGATATTATTTTGTTTTACAATTTGCTATAGAGTTTATTAATGTGGTTTATTTTGATTGCTATAGATAAACAAGACCAACTACAAGACATTTAGGAAGGATGTAAGCATTATGAATTGCTTGGAGAGATTTTTGGCAGAATTACTGCTACTAGAGGTCTGGACAATGCTTCTATTCAACTTTATTTAACGTCAGAGAAGAAAGACATATAAAATATGAGTTTTTGAGAAGGGGAATGCATGTCTGTGTAGAAAATGGTGATGATGAAGTTTCAAATATTTGTTAATGTGATGATACCACTCCTCACAAACGTTGATGTAAGGAACTTAAAATCTGTAGAGGTAAATAACTTTAGGTGTGTATGGTAAAATGGTCATCTATTGTTAGTATGAGAAACAAGGAAACAAAGCTTAAGATGCTATACCTTAAAGAAAAGCAACGCATCCAAGGAAAATCATCTAATCATGAGAGCACTAGTGAAGTTACTTGTTCGAAGCCTTATTTAAATATGGAGTATTTGAACATCTTAAACAATATGAAAAGAGTGTCTAATGAGGTTTTATGAAAGCAACAAAGGCATTTAAAGATCCAAATTTCTGGATGATATTCGTGATGATGCCAGAAATTATGAAAGAACCTATCTTAAAACTTCTTTGATTTGCTTGATTGATTGGTCAGGTTGAGTATTTTAAACTTCTAATGTAGGATTGTGGTCCTTTCATATGTTGATTAAGAACTTTGTAATTCTCAAGATTTGCTATTAATTTTATTTTAATCAGTGTATTGGATTTTATATTTATATTTGTTTTGAGTATTATTATAAATGATTGTGGTAAATGCATAAATTATATTGGTGACAATGATTTATTATATATAGACGATTTTGATGCGATTATTGTACATATACTTCTGTTTAGTAATATTCTTTACAATGATTTCTATTTTTTCACCAACTTTAAAATTTATATTGTTTGATCAAATATTAGCATAAAATTGATATGTTTTACTAAATAATCAAATTAATTGAATAAAATGTCATAAATTATTTTTAAATTTTTTAAATCAAAAGCATTTTGTAATTTTTTTATTTTGAGAAACTATTTATTAGAATGACAAACAAAACACATTTTCTACAATCTTAAAATAATCCCTCAAAATAAAAAAATGAAAATGAATTTAAAACTAAAAACTCGAACTCAAACAAAACGCACCCTTAAAATTTTAATACAAATTTATATAGAGTGGGATAAACATATAGCAATGGTGGAAGTAAACACGATACCCCTATTCTTTATGCATGATCCGAAACAACAGTACAATGTGATGCGCACAAATGTAGCACTTATAGCTCTTCCTTGACCATATGATGTAAGTAAAAGAAATGACACCACTACGCCCCCCAGGGCCCATCCCAACTGGCAAAGATGAGAACGCTTCAAAGCTGGCAGATCAGAAGTCGTGAGTTCGATTCCTAGAAGACTCTTGGAAAGCAGATATTCTCCTGGAAGGTAGGATTTATCCTAGAAGGCAGGAGCTATACTGGAAGGCAATGTGCAAAGATAGGAAATACGACTTGCTTGACACTTTGGTAGGTCAGTTGGGGGGGCTCTTGAGCACTGGTCAGTTTGGGGCACAACCCGCGGTTTAACCTGTTTGCAGTTTGAGGGGCCAAGGTGTACACTCCAGGATTTAATCACTGTAAGGTGGATACCTGGATATCAAAAAAATAAAAATAAAAAAATGACACCACTACAATTTCTTAAATCAGCAATAGTTTATGGTTTTCTAATACAATTAATAGCATCGTTGGCAAACCTCAATTGATTGGTTTGGACTTGGGATGAAAACAGGTTTGATGAATTTCGTCAAACACACACTTTTGATTGTAGATCGTGGCAACTTGACACCCGACCATGAACATGACCATGCAAACTCAATATAAATAATTAATTGTGTAGCGATCAAATATGGCCAATTTTTAATAAGTTCTGAATCCAAATTTTTATTTTTTTTACATATTTTATCCAAACCTTTCATTTGTGTTATGCACAATCCCAACCCTTTCATTTTGTTGCAGTACTAGGAAAATGGATCCATTTGACTATTATTTGACCAAAAAAAAAAAAAAACTTTGATCACATTATTAACTATTTCGATAAGGATAAAATAGTAACTTTGTATTTTATACATAAAATAAGTTAAAAATTAAATAAACAAAAAAGGGAAAACCTTACAGTTATGATAACAACCTCGAGCATGCCAGTTTCCATAGTGTTACAGATGATGTGTACAAGGCTATGGCTGGCCGTCAGGCACTGTCTAGTTTCCTGCTTTGATTTCGGTTGGGGTGGGTTAGGATGGGGGTGGGGAGAAGAATATGGGGTATCCTTTTTAAAAAAAAAATTTAATTATTAACGTATCTTATTTATGAAATGCAAACTTACCATTTTACCATTATTAAAAAGTTATTAATGTGATCAAAATTATTTTTTGTGGTTATCAATAGTCAATGGATAGAATTTGTCCATTTCTCCTTGTGCTACACAAAAATGAAAGATTTAGAATTGTGGATAGTACATAAAAAATGTTTGGGTAAATTTTGCCAAAAAAATAAAAAAAAAAAGAAAAGGAAAAAAAAATGGAAATGCTTAATCAACCATTGGGTTTCTCAACAAGTACCACAAATCTAGAAGCTCATCTCACACATTCAATCATAGTGGGGTGAGGTCTACACAAGCTGTCACAATTTCGAATATTTATTGTTGTTCTCTTCATTCTATCCACAATCCCTGAAGAGAAACTTCAGCACGTGGTGCGACTGCTCCACTAAAATTTCTCTACTGTCCCTGACAGTAAACAATAGATCACACCATTAATTAATGTGATGGTTGGAGCAACTTGTTTTTTTTATTATTTTTACCTCGTCGAATGATGTTTAGGGTGACTACATTGTCATTATTACCCGTGTCTTGAATTTACGTTTCATCTCAATTAATCAAATAGATCATCTCTGAAACAGCCTCTGCTCCTTGATCGGTTGTACGTTCCTGCCAAAGATGTTGGCTAATAGATGGGGCAATGTCATGAAAGATGTACACTAGAATGTAAATCTAGCAAAATTCATTAAAATTTAAATTAAATCACGTCCGCACACTATTAATTTTTATTAAAATTTACTAAAAATCTTATTTTTATCTATATCAAGTAGGAGTTAAGTCTAATACTTGTATTTGATTTTTAAAACTTTTTTTTGTAAAAAAATGAAGAATTTTGAGGCCAACATATCTATCTAGAGCACGATGGCACGTACATGGTAGGCAATCTAACCCATCAACTCAGTGCATCTATTAGGGCTTAGTAAACTCTATCTATTGAATTATTACTTGAGGAACCATGCAGATGGCTGATGCAGGCATACATGAGGATGATTTATTTATGAAATAGAATTTTGCTAGATGTACATTTTAATGTACATCTTTCATGACATTGTCCCCTATATGATACAATCTAGACAGTGATGTGAAAAGGTGTTGACGGAATCAAAGGCTATGATAATGCCATGTAGAATAATGTAAAACTTAATGTAAAGAAAGATGTACATGTAACATGATTCAATTTTAATTTAATTTAATTTTTTAGCTGAATCAAATAGGATGTAATAACTGTTGGGTCGCAACTCAACCCACTACTAAGCACGCACAGCAATTTCAGAGACAACTGCAGGAATTGCAACTAGAGAGGATCCTTGAGCCTCCCAAAACCCACACACTCTTCATTTCCAGTTTACGCGGCTCTTTCAACAACGACGCCTGCATCTCTCTCTATCCACCTATATGGGCTATTCATGTACATTTTTTTCATATCTATAGCATATGACATGATGTTGCATTGCATCGCATCACATTTTCAACATCAATTTTCCCTCTCTGCTCTAATTTTCTCCTTCATTTCATACGCATATATAGATATAAGGATACTAATATATATGGCAATGGAAGGAAAGGAATCTCAATATGATACACCGGCATCAGAACCAGTCTTTGCCCCGATAATCAACGCCTTCTATAGGTATGCATTTAGTTAGCGTACGAGGATCTGTGATTTTGGATTTGGTTATTGAAGAAAATTGCGAAAATTACATTAGAACCCTCTGGATAGACAATAATCACAATACTAGTGATTTTTTGGCAGTATATGAGGTGAAGTTAAATTTTGTTGTTATCTTTTTGTCATTTCAACATATTTGTATTGTTCTTATATAATTGATTGTTAAAAACTTAAAATTACTCGCGTTGTGAGTTTGTATACGATGCTGCGGGTATTCTATCGTTTACTTTTGGTACATTTAATAGGGAAGGCGCTTGGAACATAACTTAGAATAACCACCGTCAAAAGCTCGTTGGTTTTTGTGACTAATTGCTGAAATTACGTATCTAATAATTAATAACATCGGGAGATTGAAAACCATATCATAGAATTTCTACATAATTTTGAATGAAGTTCCACACTCTTTCACTATTTCAACACATGCTAATTAGTATTCCAGGTTTACTAAAGTGACAAACAGAGGGCCGACCCTTGGGCCAAGCCACCTAGGCAACCACCTAGGCCTCCAAATTTTGGCTTGGGCCCAGGGCCTCAAAATTCATGTTAGTTCCAAAATACAAAAAATGGTTTGGGGCCTTTTTGGGCTTGGAGTCTTGGACTATACATGCATAATCGGCTCAGCCTATGTATCTTTTCAATTGGAGTATTCGACATTTCGACTTCCTCTCAATCCTTTGCTTCGGAGCTTCCAGAGTATAGAGACCAGTTGCAAGCAAAGCAATTTCTACTGCTACGAGCCTACGACGTTGCCGGCAATTTACATTCCACGCTTAGGGAGTTTGGTTCTCTACAATCCTCGTTGAGATCCGTCTGAATTTTGATAGCAATTTCACCCTAATTTGAGGTAACTACAAATCATACCTATCCATTTTTCCCCATTTTGAACAAGTTACAAATAACACAAGATATAGTTGATTTGGAATCTTGGATTTTGGGTTGTAATTTTATTTACTTGTTTATTAAAGGAAGACAAAAAAGAAACCTTTCTTCCCAGGCATTTCCTTGCTTTCTTTGTAATAGAACTCTCTAATATCCACCACAACCTTTCCATTCCAGTTTCTTACCGACAGGTTCAACATTTTACGATTCTTGGAAAGCTGTAATTTCAAACAAACAAAAAATTCAAAATAAAATCCTTTAAAATACAATATTTATAGAAAGTGTAATAAACTTTATTATGTGATATAAAGAGACCTTCAATTAAGCTTTGAAGCAGAAAAATGTGAGCTCATCTGTGTTTGGTTTAATTGTTTAAGCTTTGCACATAGCCTAAGAAAGGGTTTTTTTTTTGTTTTTTACTTCATAGTAAGTGCGACTTTACTATGTTATTTATCTGAATTTTTTTATTTGTTTTACTCTTAATAATTTGTTCTATCAGCGTCTTAAACAAAATGTGAGAAGACTAAATATGATGCTAGCCTAATCTCTCGGATTGTAAGTGATTTTATTTTGCAATTCTATCTTTTAGATTGTACAAAGTTTTCATTTAAATGTAGATATTTTTTTATTTAAATATTGTTATACGTGTAGAAAAACAAAGTATGGGGCCTCAAGACTCGCTTGGGGCCTCCAAATTGTCAAGGCCAGCTCTAGTGACGAATACAGTAGCTTCAATTTATTTTATATGTTTCTCATAATCAATGTGGTACTCATCATTATTTCTAAATCACTGGCTTTATTACCTCACTGGTGGTTTCAATTATAGTAATATGGACGAAGGTGAAAGAGAAGCAACGAACTCCTGCCATAAAAGCATTGAGAGCATATACTTTCTCCTTTCAGCAATGAGTTTTCTCATTTCAACACCTCGGAAGTTCTTATCCTTCTTTTCTTAATCTCTGTAATTAAGCAGACAACGAGGAGAAAGCCACTCATGTTAGGCTCCTTTTATCAAATGTTGAAGCTGGCTCTATTATTGGGAAAGGTGGTTCGACAATCAATGATTTCTAGTCTCAATCTGGAGCACGCATTCAGTTGTCACGCAATTATGAGTATTTTCATGGAACATCAGATAGAATTGTCACTCTATCTGGAATGGTTAATGATATAATGAAGGCAATCGATCTTATTCTCAGCAAATTGTTGGATGAGGTACCACTCCAACTATATTTTCTAAACAGATTACAACATATTTTTTTAATTTTGGTCTATTCCTGTTGGTTAGTTTTATGCGGTGGAGGGTGGTCACGTGAACCCGCAATCAAAGATTAGGCTGGTGGTGCCCAACAGCTCGTGGAGGAATAATTGGGAAGGGAGGAGTCATCAAAAAGTACTATCCCCGCTTATTGTATTTAATGCTTGAAGATATTCCGTCAAAATTTTCTCTTCACACCGCTGTTGAAAGAAGTACCAACCTAAACCCAAAAAAAAAAAAAAAAAAAAAAAAAAAAAAAAGAACATGACATGGGTGGAAATCAAAACCTATGCTTGAGTGTTCAAAAGTAACTAAAACCTTCTTATTGAAAATTCCTTCCTGCCACTATCACACTAAATATAGTCTCTATTTTGAGACTTCTTTCCTCCAACTCAACACATTGCACGAGAGAGAAAAACTACCCTAGAATTCAAAAGTCTGGATTGTTTAAAACAATTCAGACTCTTTCAATCTCTAGTATCATAAAAAATTGCACATTAAACAATCCAGACTCTTTCAATCTCTAGTATCATAAAAAATTGCACAGCTAATCTAACCTTCCATTAGTTAGTAATTTAACGTCATGTTTTCATTTAGAAAAAAAAAAATGCACAAAGTACATTATAAAATTGACCACCATTTGAGCTCCAAGCCACCTACCAATTTTCACGATGACTCAGGATGGGGATACCTTGGAGTTGTGTCGGTAATTATGGTGGTGATAGACTGGTAGTTCAAGAATTTTCATTTGAATGATGAAATTTGTTCTCTTAGTTATGTTACTTAATCGTATGATGTTCTGGTGCTGGTGACATTGTTGAGTTTGGGGATGGCATTAGTAGGAGCACAATGCAATAGGATCGATCACTCATAGTAAAATATAGGACACGGTAAACTAAATAGTTAATGGTACACCGAGCAAGGTTTGGAAAACTCTATGGCTTTTCAACCTAATTTAAAGTTAGAGGATTTTTATAATCGCTTGGTCACCAGAAGGTTTTTGCTTTTTACCCACATGATATCATAAATTTCATTGCCTAGTCAAGTGTTCATTATTTGTTGTAAAATTTGCTTGGAAATGCTGCAGTAATGATTAAATATTCTAATCACTCCTTGTCTAAATTGATTTCTCCCCTTCATGTATCTAATTACCATTTTATATTATTTCTAATATGTTTGCCCCCCCCCCCTCCCCCTCTCTATTTCCAGTGATAAATTACTCTTGTACAGAATTGATTGCTTTTCTTGAATTGGAAAACGCTGATACATTGAACTTTCGAACACTTACTGATTTATCCCTTTTCTGACACCACCTGAACTGCTTGTCCGAAATTGGATATAATTCAAACTATGTTGGAACTTGTTCTTCTCAGGTGGATTGATTTATACTTTTTGTCGATTATCAATTTTTTCATTTAATTGTTCAAATAGGTCATTAATTGAAGAGTCTGATGCTGGCATAAAGATATCCCCCCAGGATAACTTCTACCCTGGTTTGCATGATAGGTTAGTCACAGTGATTGGTACATTTGATGAACAAATTAAAGCGATCAAACTTGATACTACTGAAGTTAGTAGAAGACCAATATTATCAGCAGTCTGTGAATGCTTCAGTTTCGTATTCTGGTATGGATTTTCTAGACATAATTAATCACACTTGTTTTTTTAACAACAATAGACATTCTTTTGTAGCTTTACATCTAGCATCTTTTGCTTTCGTCTACAATTTAAATGTTAACTGCTTCTCTAACAGCGACAGTCCTCTAGTTATTACTAGAATTGATGGTGTTGGTTAAAATTGAGTACATTATCAGATTCGATATGCTCGACAACAACCCCTGCTACTCGTGAAAATGAATTAGCCCTTGTTTGAGCCACATTCTAGGAAAAACGCATTATTCATATCAAATCAATGGAAAATGTGTGGTTAAAAAATAAGAAAAAATTTTAGATTTGCGTGTAATATTATTTTATTGAAGAATGTGTGATTGAAATGATGTCTAATCACTGTTGAAAAATGTATTTTCTTGAAAATAATGTGGCTCAAATAAGCCACTAGTTATTTATAATAATTGATAGTATTCTTAGACTAGTCAGGAAAACCTCTGAACAGGTGGGGGTGGACTTGGAGAATCTACTATATAACGTTGTATGGAGGGATGGAAGAATGGAATATGTGGTCACCAGGTCAGAGACTTTGTCAGAATATAACCCCCCCTCCCCCCACCTCTTTTTTCCATAAATAAATATAAACCCCCCCCCCCCTCCCCTTTTTTTTCCATAAATCAATAATTGGAATGGAAAAATAAATGTGGTACAAACTCCACTAAACAAGGTATAAACTGAACAAAAAAATCTTCTCATCAATCAATAAAATAAGGAATTTCCTGTATCTTCAAAACACAAGAAAAATAGAAAACTACTGTTCAGCTGCAAAATTGGGCTCTCAATCCCATCAGAAACCCTTCTTCTCGTGTCTTAAAATTAAAAATAACCTGCCTCACACAATTTGTAGCTCCTTTTTGGGTGCATGTTATCATACTTAATGTTGACCCCAAAAAGTGCGCCAACATATACCGGTCCCACCCGCACTTGCGTGGGCGAATGTCCAACACGCTAAGACACGTGAACGGTCTAAAACGAGCGGTTCAAAGGGGCGTGGGAGTAGCCCAACGACGCGGGACGGTGACGTTCGGAATCCGGCGGGTTGTTTGTAATCCGATTTTACAATAATTACCAATCGATGCTCGTAAATGTATATGTAAAAGTGTATAGACTCGATTTGTGTATTGCAAGTAAATGAGAGAGAGTTGAGTAAATGTAGTCTTTAGTATTGATTCTTGCATTAGCCTTTGACATCACACAATGGAAGTATTTATAGTGATACATATGAAATGGGAGCCCTTGGATGAAGTGACACGTGGTCTCATCTCTTTAGTTCAAACGTCTTTTCTTAGGTATGGGGCTTGACTTGCTAGCTTACGGCGCATTTATTGCTTGCGTAGGTCCTTCATACTAGTGACAAGACTTGACATTTATGCTTGTGACAAACGTTCCATCAGTCATTTGAATAAGATCTCTGAGCAGGCGATCTCTTGGGAGAAGTGACTGTGGAGGAAGCTTCTTGTGGTTAAGAGGCTCGTGCGTCAGTTTCGGGGCTTCGAACATTTGACAAATACTCCCACCTGAGGATGGGCCTTGGTAGTTGGGCTTCGGCAGACTCGCATAGATCAGATCGAAGAGCCTCGACGGATGGACCTCGGCTGAAGCACTTCGGATATAACCCACCTCGGCAATATTGTGCCACCTCGGCGGGAACGCCACATGGATCAGGATGAGGGCCATTAGCCCAGGTGGGTATGACAGGACACACAACAATAGTCCCCCAAGTCCAAGTATAATCATTAATGTAATGCGTGGACTTTAATGGAGTAAAAGTTGAAAGAATTTTTGAACCCCAAATAACAGTCCCCCAAGTCTAAGTATAGATATTTATATCATGGTTGGAGTTTGAGAAGTGTTGCT